AAGTGTAAGGTTCGTGTTTGAACCTTCACTAGACACTTCGGACGGGACGCTGTGAGGCACAGCAGGGGTTTCTAGAACCCAAGAGATCTGATTTTAATTACTAAACCAACGAGAACACAACCTGGTTCCGAAGGATAGAGGGCGGTAATCAGTCCCGATATCTCTCTCTACGGACTACACGACTGATAATGAAAGAAAAGAGATAAATGAGAAATGGCCATACCTGGTTCCGAAGGATAGAGGGCGGTAATCAGTCCCGATATCTCTAAGGAACCAGTCATCGGATGGAATGACAAACAACTATATAAATGAAATAAGCTTAAGTCTAAGTATTAATATTTAGATGTATGTAATGTGATTGTGTAATGACCACAGGTCTTACACTACTGGTCCAGGATGAGTGGAAAGAAATGACCAGAGATACAATTGCAAAAAGTATGAAATTTGTATGAATAGACTATCTGTATATAACACCAACAATCCTAAAAACAATCATGTTCTACCCTTGCTCAAAGCATGTGTGGGTTTGGCAACCAGAAAATGGAAATTGGAAAGAAGAGTATGATAAAACAAGCTAGCCAGAGAGATTGAAAGAAATCAGACAGATACGAATAGTCATCTATTTGAGTGATAGGCAGGAAAGGCTAGCAAGGGAAAAGCAGACAGCCTGACAATTCGGATTAACAATTGTGCTAACTTGACCTGTGATAGAGGAAAAAAAGACATCAGTAATAACATACAACAGGCAAGGAGATGTTCAAAGTGAGTAGTGACTTGAATTCCACTTACTTGTTGCGAGATCAAATGAGAAAGATGAGGTGGTGTACATGATGGTGGTGGTGTAGGTGGGATGAGTTATGGTAATGGAAGACTGTTGTGACTATGACTTTGATTAGGATTATAAACAGATTGAGTGGCTGGATGATGACAGCGGTGATGAAGTCCATGAGTTGGGGAACAAAGTGAAGATTGAAAGAAATATGAAGATGTAGCAAGAGGTGCTTGATCTGAGGGTTTGATTGTACATTCTTGAATCAAGTATGAGATCGGTTCAGATAATCGTGATCCAGTTGCAGGCTACTAGATGGACAAAGTGGTAAGATGGACGAAAGAGCTGCAGGCGAATGAGGAAGTTAAGGAGGAGTCACAAAAAGATTTGAGTGGTCTTGGTCATCTGTTGTAACACTGGATTGTTTGATTGAATCACTTAAATTAGATGACCATTTGTCTTGAATTCCAGGTTGTCAATCTCAAGAGATCGGTAAGTAGATGGAAGGCTCATTGGGAGTGGACTTGGAGACTGAGTTGAGGATGCTGTGTTGAGCAAGGGTGTTTTGTTGTTTTGGGCGGGGGGGTTTTGATTCTTAAAGGTTGAGTCACCGGTATCATGAAACTTGACCTAACCTGTGAGTTTGACATGGTGGCAGTCGGGAGTGATTGATTGAAGGAGATTGAAGGCTGGTCTCCTGGCTGTTGTAGACCGTCAGAAGCTCAGCAAACTTGTTGAAAAGTGTGGCCTGTTTGGAGACCGCCTACCGGCCACCCACAGCCCGTATGAGTTTTGGTCCACAGGCCAGCTGTAGACCCGACCATTCTCAGACCCTTATGGGCTCTCTATGGGCCGGTCTACAGGCCATTTACTGACCCGACCATTCTGGGCCCCGGGAAGACCATTCTCTGACACAGAATCCTCCGGTGGTGTACCTTTGTTGACATTTCCCTCATTTAAAAACAAAGAATAGAATACATTATTTAATCATCCCGTGTCAAAGTAAAATGTTGTATCTATTGTTGGTTGATTGTTCTCTATGTATACATATACATACGAGCCCCTTCAAAATGTCCTTCATTCCCACCCCATCAAACCTGTCTTTCTTCAACAATCAAGAATTTGCCATGCTTTTCTTCAAAATTATCATTGCTGCTGTTCTAGCAGGTCAGTGAATTCATACACACTATCTATATCTCCATTCGTAATCAATCTTACTCAATCCTCTATCTCTTCTTAAAGCCACAATCTCTGCCCGCCGTGTCCAAGTTGACCAAACGTGAGCAAAACCTCATCTTTCTCTGCCTTACTTGAACCACTCTCAGAAAATATACCTAACACATGACTTGCTTGATGTCAGTGTCACTTGTGAAGCCCTACAACAACAATATGTAGAGTTTACTCCCATCATTGAAAAGAGATTGTTTGTGGAGGTTATGAACATCAAATCTTGTTACTCTACTGCCACACATTGTTTGACTGATTGATATGATACCTGTCTACATAAAATAAATCTCACTAGGTCAAGACTCCTCAAAACTTGTCAATATGGACCTGGTAATAAACCCCCAGTCTGCTGGACTGAATGTGAATCTGGACCTGGTTGCTGCTGATCTGGCAGATGTCAAGGCAATCAACGTATGTGGCAAGTTCAGGAGGGCTATAGGTGAATGTCAACACAGACCTTATTATAACATGCAAGGATTTCTTTCCTCCAGAAGACCCTTACACACATTCTCCTGCTCAATGTTCAAAACCAGCTTGCTTTCTCCTTATCATAGCCATCATTGCACCAGCTTTTTTATTGTACATCAGCTGTTTTGGAAACGAAGCAATTGTATGATAATGTTGTCCCAACTTTATTAGTTTCTCTCAAAAAGGCTCACTCCTCTGATTGTTCCAAATCAACAGAAATTGCCAATTTCAAATGTCTTTGTCTGGTCTGCCTATGAGAAACCTTGATTTGATCAAGGTGTCGGTTCACTTTTTACACTGGAAAAAGTCATCACATTTCAAACATATGGTTGGTGACAGCAAGAAGCATGAAATCACAGACCAGGTATCTTGTAATTACAACAACCAAAAACCCAAATTCATCAGTCTTATAAAAGTTAAGAAAACAAGACTTTTGAAATGTGTTCCGCTGAGGATAATTCTGGGTAGCCCTCAACAAGACAACCTCAGATCTATCTTGATTTGTTTTGTAAATGATTTTTGCAACTTGTGGAACACTTTTTGAAAAAGTGCCCAATTACGTGGTTCTTGCTGTCACCAACCATACATATTGTCTTTTGAAAAACCAAACCGTGTTACCTGCAGATTGCAATGGTCCTGCTTTTATGCTGTCATCTTTTTCAAACAATCAATAAGAGGATTCAAAAAAACCCTTTTGACGCAACAAATCAGTTCTCAGTTCTAACTTTGTGCCTCTAGGATGTTGTAACTGACATGCCTTTACAACCCCTCCTGAAGCAATAATTCAAATCGATTCAATTCATTGCTTGATACAAACTTCCAGAATACTCATAGGCTTGTGCAACTAAAGTAGCTGCTACTGGGTAGCAGCTACTATCTACTACGTATCCCTTTCTGACACACAGGCATTGGAAGTATCCAACCGTGAGACCTAGGACAGCGTGCGCAGACGCTTTATTCAGAAACCATCCACGAACAAGCCCGTATTGAGCCTTCCCAAGCTTTTTGTTTGGCCGCTCACCACTGCTCCACCTGTTCGAACTGAAAATGAGAATATCACATTTCCCGTTACAAGCGGAAGCCTTGGAACAATAACACCTGCTTCACTGCTATGTTTTACACCCCATGCCCATTCACTCAAATTCTGTTCACATTGCCAACTGAGTTCATGAAGATCATGTGTATTCTTGAATAGCTTTTATGGTACCAAAAGTCTCATTGACAAGTTTGAATCAATTACCTTGAACTTATATTTTTCGAGGCTTGTTTGATTAAAATCGTTTCCTTGTCATAAGCAAGGTCAGTATATAAGAGCTTTGAAGCGTCAACATTTCAAAGAAAATCACTTTTGTAGTTCAGCTTAATTAGATACAATCTAGTTGATTACAACTTCATCTTGTTCTATATGATCTGTTTAAGCTGTCTAATCTGTTTACGAGTAAAATCAATGCATTAGGATCAATTCCCCCTAACCTCTTAACAACTCCCAAAGTCTCTCGTCTAGCACTAGCAAGCCTATATCAAGCTTTCACTGCCAGCATTAAATAGGTTCCCTGGTCGGAACATGACCTAGGCTGGGAATATCATTGAGAGAAGAATGGAGAATCAAATCATCTTGCACTGCACATCTGAGCCATAAAGCATACACTACATATGTGCAAACATCTGAGTAAATCCTTAGCTATCAGCTACATACAGGTCCGCTCAGCTATCTGCTCATCTAGATAAGAAAATCATGTGTAATACATGCTGTAACTTTGTTCAGATTGAGACGCACATTTCAAAATATTGACTACATATATCACAATGGCTACTCAGGAAATATTCATGGAACTGTGTAACAGTAGCAGAATGGGAATCTGATCACTAGGACCCGTATTCCCATCTGGGAACCTCTTTAATGCTGGCAGTGTTTGATGCTAAGGTATTCGAGTGTATGAGTTGATAATCTGACTTGAGGGGTAAAAGACATAACTCATCGGCTTCCAATCCGCGGTTATTGTGATACAAATGTGCATCGGAAGGACGGTGAGGAGTTGGATGAGCGTTATCAACAACAAAGATGGATGGGGATCTATGGGGGTAGAGTTTGGGTACTGTTTCCGAAGGGGGGGTGCTGCGGGCTTTTTTTGGGTTAGAGTAGCAGAATCGTAGTGGGTAGCCGTAGCCGCTACAAAGTTGCACAACCCTTCGGTTACTCCTCAAACTTCCCACTTGATCAATTCCAATACCACAATCGATGACCATCAAGCACATCAATCACTCGATATCATCATCAATATTGAAATGTGACAGATCATTCCTCCCGGTGTTAAACTCATCTGTGTACACTGTACATGTGGCTCAGGCTGTGCCGGCTGTGCCTGCTGTGCCGGGCTGTGCCAGGCTGAGTTTTTTACTAATCTAAAAATAACGAACCGGCAGCAAATTTACAATTGATGGGTATGTCAATCCCAACCTTTTTTGACAGTTCCCTCATTTTAAGATAAAATTCGAATGAATTACAAAAAACTTCAGGAGTATGATCAAGCCGTGTAGTGTCGCGTAAGATTATGGTAAGATTACAAAAGTTATATAAGAGCTCCTTTAACATGTCCTTCATTCCCTCTCACACCAGAACTTGTCAGTCTCTTTCAGACCTTATACGTTGAAATATCCCATCAAACCTGTCTCATTCCTCAACAATCAAGGATTTGCCATGCTTTTCTTCAAAATCATCATTGCTGCTGTTCTTGCAGGTCAGTGAATTCATACATCCTGATCCGTATCTCCATTCGTACTCAATCTTACTCAATCCTCAATTGATTTTTACAGCCACAATCTCCGCCAGCCGGAACCCTGCACAAGTTGACCAAACGTGAGCAAAGGCTTGACACCTTTCTCTGTCTTACAACCGCTCTCAGAAACTTTTCCTAACGCACGACTTCCTTGATATCAGTGTACCTCATGAAGTCCTACAGCGACGACAATTCGAAAAGAGGTCGTAAGTGAACGTTCTGACCATTGACTCTCGTTATTCTAATCTTGTTCCACCGGTGTCTTGTTCATCGTACGAGTGATTGATATGATACTTGTGTACACAAAACAAATCTCACCAGCTCAAGACCCCTCAAAACTCGTGACTCCGGAAATAATCCTTCCCCAAATACTATTAAGCCCCAACCTACGAGGCCTAACCCACCGACCTGCCATCCATGTGATGATGGACCCGGTTGTTGCTGATCTGGCAGATGTCAAGGCAATCAACGTATGTGGCAAGTTCAGGAGGGCTATAGGTGAATGTCAACACAGACCTTATTATAACATGCAAGGATTTCTTTCCTCCAGAAGACCCTTACACACATTCTCCTGCTCAATGTTCAAAACCAGCTTGCTTTCTCCTTATCATAGCCATCATTGCACCAGCTTGTTTATTGTACATCAGCTGTTTTGGAAACGAAGCAATTGTATGATAATGTTGTCCCAACTTTATTAGTTTCTCTCAAAAAGGCTCACTCCTCCGATTGTTCTGAATCAACGGAAATTGCCGATGTCAAATGTTTTTGTCTGGTCTTCCTATGAGAAACCTTGATTTGATCAAGGTGTTGGTTCACTTTTTACAGCTCTGTCCAACTTTCATGATTATTAGGCCTGTTTGGCATTTATCTTTTGAGAATGACGAAGACATTCGCGACAGAGCTTGGAAAAAGTCATCACATTCCAAACATACTTTTAAAAAACCAAACTGTTTTACCTGCAAATTGCAATTGTTCTGCTACCAATCGGTTTTATGCTGTCATCTTTTTCAAACAATCGATAAGAGGATTCAAAAAAACCCTTTTGACGCCAAAAATCAGTTCTCAGTTCTCACTTCGTACCTCTAGGATGTTGTAACTGACATACCTTTACAACCCCTCCTGAAGCAATAATTCAAGTCGATTCAATCCATTGCTTGAACAAACTTTCCACTCGATCAATTCCAATACCACAATCAATGACCATCAACCACAACAATCACTCGATATCATCATCAATATTGAAATGTGACAGATTATTCCTCCTGGTGTGTGGACTGGGAAACATGTTATGATCGGTAATAAATCACTGACCTGTTTTGCTGCTGTGTTGCCCTGATTCCGTTTGCTCTGCTGTTATGCTGTGTTGCCCTGATTCCGTTGTTCCGTTGTGTGTGCTGATCTGTGTTGTACGCTTTGCTGACAAACATGTATGACGTCACTGGATATGTTTCGCTCACAAAAACCCTCGAGTCCTTGCCCAAAAGAACTTCGATAAAAAACTATTCAAAATCTTCTCATCGTTTTCTCTTTTTATCGTTTTCCTTTGATCGTCAAGAAAATTGTCACTTCCTCGTTTCGTTCTAAAACACTCAATACTACACGACAAATCTATTCAACTATAAAGCTGAATCTAAATCGAACTCAAGCTTTTATCGAAAGGAAAGGAGGTATAGCTTGGTTCTATTTATGATGTCTGATTTCTTCTTTATCTAATTTTAAATTGATTCCTCAAAATGTAGACTTTCGCTTTTTTGATTACATTGTTCGATTTAAAATTCGTGTTACAAAGTTGAATCTCATAAGTGTAGTTATTGTTAAAGGTACTACAATTTCTCTCTTATCTTTTTTATCAAAGTTGTTTGTTACGTTTTTACTTACATAAAATATTATTGTTAAAGAAATTAAAATATAAGTTTTATCCTAAAGAAAGAGAGATCCTACCTGTTCATTACATGGTAGCGAGAGACTCCTCTTGGAAAAACTATATTATTTCTTTTTACATTCGTAGTTTTTAGAACGACTCGTTTGAGATGTCTCAACCTACTTTTTCGACCAAGGCCACCGGAAAAGACGAAAACGAAAATGATTCCTCCTCTGATTCAGATAATCATTCTTCAACCAAAGTCAAAATCATCAAATTGACTCGAAAAAATTGGCATGAATGGCAAATACGTTTCGATAACATCCTCGTCAGTAAAGGATACGACGATTTACTGGACGAGAAATGGGTTGCCGCCAACATCAACAAACCCGCTTTCAAACGCAAAAACGCCTGGGCTATTAACAAGCTCTTCGAAACTGTATCTTCCGAACTTCGAGCTATACTATTGAAAAATAGCAAAAGCTTCCATGACGCCTACACCGCTCTCGCTAAATCCTGTGGTGTCTCTTCAATTCTTATGATTGGAATGAAGGTACAACACTGGATGTCTCTTCGATACATTCCTGGGAGTTCCATTCAGGAACATTGCGACCAAATCTCCGGAACTTACACTTCGCTTTCAGCTTCATTGGCCGCCACCAAACCTACTGTTTTAACCATTTCCACTGAACTTGCCGCTATTTTCTTCTTACTCAGTTTTAATGATGACGAAGGATTAACACCTTTAATTCAAAATTGCTGGGACCTTAGTCCATTCAGTTTCGAATCCTGCTACGATAAGCTTATCATGGAGCATAACCGTCGGGAATCGCAAGAAACCGAAGTTGTTAACTTTTCAAAGGTCAAAGGAAAAAGAAACGAAAAGCCCAACTCATCTTCATCTCAGCCTAATCCTTCTTCTTCCTCTTTCAATCCTAAAAGCATCATCACTACCAAAAAACCTTGGGTTAAAAACTTTGAGTCCATCGATGAAAAAGTTGCCCGTTTAGTCGCCCAACATCTCTCTCAACATAAATCTTCGGAAGCTCATCACATTCAACAATCCTCTGAATCTGAAGACGAACGAGTAGACCATATTCAACATCGTCAAGAAAACAACATTGACGACAGTGGTTTCATGATCACCGATTCTGTCAATTACCTCGGTGCCGAAAAATTTCAACTTGTTTATGACTCCGGAGCTACCAAATCCACCATCAACAACCTTGATCTATTAATTGATCCCAAACCAATCTCGAAATCCATGAATACTTATGGAGGATCAGTCGCCATTTCTCATGTCGGCAAACTCAATTTTGGAGGCACCATCATTTATCCGGTGTACTACTCTGAAAACGGTCCAAGAAATCTGATCTCAACTACTCAACTTGAGGACCATGGAATGAATATAATTCATTCTCATCGAAAAGTACAAGTAAGATTAGGTGACAAAACCATATTTCGTTTCTTTCGTGATGGTGATTTGTATGTGTCCAAGAACACTTCTTCAGTCAATTCAATTCAAGAAATTAATCTCTCAGAGCCAAAAGACTGGCATATCATTCTCGGACATCCCTCAGACGTCTATCTCAAGAAATTCCTGGAGATTAATGAAATCAAATCATCAGCCGTCGAAAATAGTTCAGGATGTCTCATCTGCTTGCGATGTAAATTGAAGAATTCACCTCACTCAAATCCTATCCCTAGTGCATCTAAGCCTTTCGAAAAAATTCACTCCGACTTACTACAGATCACTCCAGTAACCGGACAAGGTATAAAGTACGTTCTGGTACTTATCGACGATTTCTCAAGATTCAATAGAATCTATCTGCTAAAGAAAAAATCGGAGGCTCCAAACCGAATTCTCCAATACATCGCTGAAATCAAATCGAAGACTGGATCGAATCCCTCTTATTTTCACTCAGATAGAGGCGGTGAATTCACTTCCACCTATTTAGTAAACGAATTTGCTAAACTCGGAATCTCCATTGAACAAGGCCCAGCAAATTCTCCTGAAACGAATGGTCTGTCCGAAAGATTCAATCAAACTTTACTTGTCAAGATGCGGTGCATTCTAGCGCAATGTTCAGTCCCGATGAACTTTTGGGATGAAGCCGCTAGATATGCCTCTCAACTTATCAACATACTGCCTTCTAAACCACTTAATTGGATTTCACCGGTCAGTGTACTGAGTGACTTAAACCTAAGCATTGAACCACTTCGAAAGCTTACAAAACTCATCCCTTTCGGACTGAAGGTGTTTGTTCGTCAACAGCAAGAATCCAAAATTCTCCCACCATCCAACCCTATGTTGTTTCTCGGTTACGAACCCTTCTCCGATGCCGGAAGATTTCTCAATCTAAGAAATCGACATATCATCATAAGTAGAGACTATTCATCATCTCCATTGAATTTCCCCTACAAGTCAGAATCAATCTTGAAGAAACCCATCGAGACTCTTCCTCTTCGAAAAACGACTTACAAGTCAGAAAACACAGTTATTCACTTGAAAACTCCGAAGAAAATCACCGCTACCTCGACCACTCAAGGTACCCCGGCAATACCTTCGGATCTTCCTCTTCTTCCACAAACGCCTCCTCTTCCGCAAACGCCTCCTCTTCCACAAACGCCTCCTCCGGCTCCTAGACCCGCACCGCCTGCTCCTAAGAAGTCTCACTACACGACTATTCCCTATTCCGACAAAGCTCCTAAAGACATTTCATCTAAAGTTGATCCATCCAACATTCTCAAATCAACTCGTCGGAAGAAGACTAGTGCCGTCAGTGAAGCCGAAGAAGAACTTGAACTGAATCTTGCGATTGATGTAAGTCTAAGGGAAGCACTCACCAATCCTGATGAAGCGCCTAAGTGGAAAGAAGCTATGCAGAGCGAATTCAACTCCTTGATTTCAAAGGAAACTGGAACCCTGGTACCACGCCCTCTTCACGATAAAGTAATAGGAGGTATGTGGAGGTTAAAAAAGAAATTAAATGAATTTGGTGAAACTTCTCGGTTCAAAGCTCGCTGGGTATGTCTGGGAAACGATCAAGAAGAAGGCATACATTACTTCAGGACTTATGCTTCCGTTGCTCGAAATGAGTCTTTCAAACTTCTCCTTGTGCTCGTTGTCCAAAACAAACTCTACGCTTATCAATTCGACATTGAGACCGCCTTTCTTGAAGGCCTCATTGACGCTCCGATTTATGTTTCGCAAGTCAGTGGATTTGAAGAAATCGGGATGGAAGACTTTGTCTGGCTGTTGTATAAATCGCTATACGGCACAAAACAAGCTCCCCGTCGATGGAAAGCAAAATTGGTCGAGGTACTGCTGACCGCAGGTATGTACTCCTCTCAAGGCGACGAATCTCTGTTTGTCAACGAAGACAAATCAATCTTTCTTCACATCCATGTTGATGACGGATTCGTTGTAAGCAAGAACAAAGACTCGATTATGAATCTCTTTAAAGACTTAAAGAAAGCCTTCACCATGAAAATCAAAGAACGTCCAACTCAGCATCTAGGTTACAGCCTCGACTGGAAAACTGATGGATCCATTCTACTTCACCAAACTGATTTCGCAAAGAAGACACTTGAGCGCTTCGATATGTCTGAATGCAACCCCATCAAAACTCCCGCTCCGATGAATCTACACGCTCTAGTCGCCAGTCAAGGCGATCCCGTGAAAGTCTTACTTTGTCAACAAGCTCTAGGAATGTTTAATCACTTGGCTCTTCACACCCGGCCTGATCTCACATTCACTGTCAACCTCCTCACTCAATTCGCGACTAACCCGAATACCTTTCATTGGTCGGCTATCTGTCATTTGTTCAGATATTTGAAAGGCACCGTCTCTTTAGGGTTATTGTACACTCAATCCACCAGTCTCGAACCAGAACTATGCGGATGGGCCGATGCCGATTACGCCACGTCTTTTGTCACCAAAAAGTCAACTTCCGGATTCACTTTGACCTTATACAACAATCCGATCTGCTGGACGACAAAGAAACAATCTGTAGTTGCTCAATCTACTACTGAAGCTGAGTACATATCGTCTAATAAATGTGCCAAGCAATTGCGCTGGATGTCGATCTTAATGACAAGTTTAAATTTAAAAATCTCCAAACCTCCATTACTGATCAACGACAACACCGGTGCAGTGACTATTAGCCAAGAAGCTCAATTAAATCCCAACTCTAAACATATTGAAGTTCGGTATCAATATCTCAGAGACCTAATAATGAAGAACTTAATGTCGATACGTCAAGTGGCCTCAGAAGATATGATAGCTGATGTTTTGACTAAACCGTTAGGAAGCGTGAAACATCAATCAGCTATGAAACAGCTCAAGATGGCGCGTTGTGATTTAGGGGGAGTGTTATGATCGGTAATAAATCACTGACCTGTTTTGCTGCTGTGTTGCCCTGATTCCGTTTGCTCTGCTGTTATGCTGTGTTGCCCTGATTCCGTTGTTCCGTTGTGTGTGCTGATCTGTGTTGTACGCTTTGCTGACAAACATGTATGACGTCACTGGATATGTTTCGCTCACAAAAACCCTCGAGTCCTTGCCCAAAAGAACTTCGATAAAAAACTATTCAAAATCTTCTCATCGTTTTCTCTTTTTATCGTTTTCCTTTGATCGTCAAGAAAATTGTCACTTCCTCGTTTCGTTCTAAAACACTCAATACTACACGACAAATCTATTCAACTATAAAGCTGAATCTAAATCGAACTCAAGCTTTTATCGAAAGGAAAGGAGGTATAGCTTGGTTCTATTTATGATGTCTGATTTCTTCTTTATCTAATTTTAAATTGATTCCTCAAAATGTAGACTTTCGCTTTTTTGATTACATTGTTCGATTTAAAATTCGTGTTACAAAGTTGAATCTCATAAGTGTAGTTATTGTTAAAGGTACTACAATTTCTCTCTTATCTTTTTTATCAAAGTTGTTTGTTACGTTTTTACTTACATAAAATATTATTGTTAAAGAAATTAAAATATAAGTTTTATCCTAAAGAAAGAGAGATCCTACCTGTTCATTACAAAACACCGGTGCTGGGAAAAATCATCTGAGCCTGAGCCGCTCAAGCCTCAGGCTGTGCCAGGCTGAGTTTTTTACTAACCTAAAAATAACGAACCGGAAGCAAATTTACAATTGATGGTGTATATCAATTCCAACCTTTTTTCGACAGTTCCCTCATTTAAAACTAAAAATAGAATGTATTACAAAATACTTCAGGAGTATTGATCAACCCGCTTCAACCCGTGTCAAAGTCTAATGTTGTATTTATGGTTGGTTGAGTGGGTATCAGTGTCGCGTAAGATTATGGTAAGATTACAAAAGTTATATAAAAGCTCCTTTAACATGTCCTTGACTCCTTCATTCCCTCTCACACCAAAACTTGTCAGTCTCTTTCAGACCTTATACGTTGAAATATCCCATCAAACCTGTCTCATTCCTCAACAATCAAGGATTTGCCATGCTTTTCTTCAAAATCATCATTGCTGCTGTTCTTGCAGGTCAGTGAATTCATACACACTAATCCGGATCTCCATTCGTACTCAATCTTACTCAATCCTCTATCTCTTCTTAAAGCCACAACCTCTGCCCGCCGCGTCCAAGTTGACCAAACGTGAGCAAAGGCTTGACATCTTTTTCTGTGTTACAACCGCTCTCAGAAACTTTTCCTAACGCATGACCTGCTTGATCTCAGTGTAAATCGTGAAGTCCTACAACGCCGATCTGTAGAGTTCACTTCCACCATCGAAAAGAGGTCGTAAGTGACCGTTCTGAGCGTCGACTCTCGACTCTACTCTCGTTCATCGTTTGAGTGATTGATGTGATACTTGTCTACACAAAACAAATTTCACTAGCTCAAAACCCCTCCAAACTCGTGGCTCCAAAAGTAATAGCGTCCCGAACCTTACCAAGCCCCAACCTCAGACGATCAACCCACCCTGCGACCCATGTGATGATGGACCCGGTTGTTGCTGATCTGGCAGATGTCAAGGCAATCAACGTATTTGGCAACTTCAGGAGGGCTATAGGTGGAGGTAAACACAGACCTTATCATAACATGCAACGTTTTCTTTCCTCCAGAAGACTCTTCTACGCGTTCTCCTGATCAAAGTTCGAAGTCAGCTTGCTGTCTGCTTATCATAGCCATCATTGCACCAGTTTGTTTTTTGTACTCCAGGTAATTTGTAAACCAAGTGATTCTATGACAACATTCTCTCAACTCTGTTAGTTTCTTTTCAAAAAAAATGCTACTCTGATTGTTCTGAATCATTGGGAATCTTCAACGTCAAATGTTTTTGTTCAGTCTTCCTATGAGCAATCTTGATTCCATGAAGGTGTCAGTTCACTTAAGTTCCTCGAAGAGTCGATCTGATCAACTGACTGAGGTCATGTTCTCCTGGGAATCAGATAGACTTGAACGTCTTTAACTCAGAACTTGAGTACATGAACCCAGCCTTAAAGCTTGAATTTGGATTTCGAACAGATTCTTTAACTGATCGATTTCATTTCACAGGATCAGAACAGTTTACCAGACTTGTTTGATTTCCAACTTTCCTGTTTACCAAACTCAACTTCAAATCAATCAAGCATCAAACCAATCTCATCCATTTCAATGAACAACGACCATCATCAGCTCAACTTTCCACCGTCAACTAATACGCAAACTTCATCATCATCATCATCATCATCGAACTCATCTTCATCATTAAATCCTAACTTGGGTTCACCTTGTACAGACGAAAACATGTTAATATCATCAATCTCTGAAGAAAAACCATTCTAATTCATAACTAATTCATAAACTATTCCATTAATTTCAACAAATCATTCAATCCGAATCGTCTGAAAACAAATCATCATATCAAAACCGCAAAGTTTCCTCTTTGTTCCGAACCTAATCGGTCAGGCTCTTTTCATGATCATCTCCAAAGAAACCCCCCATTTCCACCGTTACTAATCTTCAATGCATTTCATTCAACAGGTTATTCTCGAATCATTCTAGCATCGTTTCATTACATTGAATGTCATATCAGTCAAAGTATGGTACGGTTGCATATTTGATTGTACAAATTTGAGATGCAGTAGACGGTCAGGCTGCTAGAGCTTTGCGGCAAACTAGTAGGTTTGGTACTGTACTGGATATGCTCACCGATCGGCAAGTCATTTTAGATATCACTAGAGATTGGGCACCCGGCCGCCGCATCATCATTATCCTACAGCCCACTCTGACATAACCCATATACCATCTTATGGACAGCTTTTGGTAGGGTTTATGACAGAGTATGTGCTATCACAGACAGGCTCTGGGCTAAAAAGTGAGAAATCATGCACTACAAAAAGAAAAAGGTTAGACCAGAGTATGTGTTGCAAAGGGTATGGTTTATATCAGAGTTCAGGCCCATTGAAGTATTGTTCAAGACAAGTATCCAGACCCAATATTTTTATATGGATAGTCATTGCTTGCAATTTATTGTTCTTTGATGCAATAATCTGATCTTGTGTCTGAGACTGTAATGATCTTTTGGACCCAAGGGTGTTGTATCTTTTCTGTGTCTGCCTGTGCACCCTGTTTTCAAAACTTGAACCACAAGGAGACAATGAATTACAGCCATGTAATGCATTTATTTCAATTTCCATGATTATAGAGGAAAAGTGTACTGCACTACAATCAATTGTTGGTGGTTTGTCCTGTTTGTATCAAATTTAGTCCTCAATATATGGCTTGCACTGTCTCAGGTGAGAGTTTTGTGGCTATAGGTGGCTAGCTTACATTTTTGAACTTGTTGCCAGCTTTACTGCCCCCCCTTTGATTGTGAGGACTAAATGAAGCTATGGTGCCCTGTGTTTCTGATCTTATGGAATAGTTGTGAGTAATGGGTCTGATACTTTGTTGTAGGGTATGCTGTTTTCATTGCTATTCCCTCTTTTCCCAGTCATGACATTGTTTCTATGGTTGATGACCTCTCCATTGCTGACTACCACAGTCTGAATGTCAAATTCCTTTGTAGTATCACTTATACTGGTCAGATAAATTCAACCCAGACTTGCAATTGATATTATGACACATTTTCAAAGAGTGCATTGGTGAATTGAAGCTTGCTTCAGTGATTACATGTCAATGCCTAACCTTCTTTCAAATCCTTTGAATCCAGTCAATTACCTGTATCATATGCCAAAGTTGGCTCCTAATAAGATGATAACATAGACTTGAGTTGTCTTAAAAATCTATCTGAACCATGACTCATGAGGTCCCTCAATTCTATCACAAACCTACTGACCTTCAGATCATTATTGTTGTTAATCAATTAATGTATGCAGTCCAGATTCATTGAGCTGCTCTTTCCCTTTCCACCGGAAAATTCTTTGTAGATGTTGCATCTTCCACTTGCACAATGAAGACTACAACCATTCCTAATCAGTCTGACAACTACTGTGTGCTGAGTATTTTTATCTCACCATCATAACCATGTCACTATTTTCAAAAGAACTTGCTTGTTGTTGTGTTACCATTTCTGCTTATTTACTGTAACAGGCAATTTTGAAACTCCTTTGCTCCTGAATTTCTGTGAAGGGCTTTGAATCTGAATCTGAATCTGGATTATTATGCTAATACATAGCATTTCCATGGAACGTGCTTGATGGTACAGTGAGTTCCTAATGCAAATAAATCCATCAAAATGGCATCTCCTCATTTTCAGTAGCTAGAAAGAGACAAGTAAGCCTGTGTATAGCTTTTGACCTAGATTTGGTACAATCATCAGTCATTTATGCAAGATGAGAAACCTTTACAAATGTGAAGAAACATTTACAGAAATGATATTTTTGTGTTGAAAGTACATACAAGTATCTTGGAGGTCAAAGATAACAGGGGACTCAGAGCCATGATAATTCATTGGCTAGAAATGGTAGTGCCAAGGTCAATCTTTTCACATCCTTGTCCATATTCATTGCTTTTTATCATTTTATCAACACACTCTAATTGTGATTTGGTCGAAATTTGGTTCAAAGAGTCTAGATGGGTTAAACGGTAAATACCTAGTTAACTCATTCTTTTCAGGTTTTGCCCTTGCTTGACCAGATGCACCCACATTTAAGTCCATTTTAGCTTGTGCGTAAAAATGCTTTTTCAAGACTTGTGTAATCTCTCCAGAGTTCGGAGTCAAGCAGTATCATATCTGATTTGTCAAGTGCAGATATCTAGCAATGCAAGTTGAAATGGATTCTAGAATTTTGTTGAAACATTCAATGAGGCACTTGACAAGGTGCTATCATGAAATGTCAAGACTCAAATTTGGAACCCATGAAAATAACATTCATATCTTCATTGACTCATACAACAAGAGTCATCTGCAAAATTATTGAACTGGCCACCGCCTATGTGCAATCTGCCTACTCATACACATGTCTCTTTCCCACTGATGCCACAACATATAAATCAGTAAAGGAGAAGTAAAGCTGAAGCAACATACAAGAAGACATACTTTCATCTGCACTGTCAATACACCAGAAGGGGATGTCTATGACTGCAGCAGCTGTAACAGCATCTAAATGATTATGTAAAACACTTTCCTGTTATCCAGCCACAACATTTGACCTATGTGTTGTAGACACTGGATTGTTGCGCTCCAAATCTGGTTGTCTACTTGAGCTCCCAGCTTCACGTCTTGCAGTATATTCCAGATAGAGAATGGGACTCGCAGACTGATCCGCTCTAAATCAGTCATTGAACGGCAAGGGACCAGGAAGTTTTGTCAGCATTGTCAGATACCTTAAGAAGATGATCATCCTACCTGTAATGTGGTCAATCGGCTTCAAGATGAAGTCCAGAAACAGTACTGGATCCTTCAACAGCTGAGAGGTCTCAAAACCGTACCATTCTATCTTCACCTGCCGTAAGAATATATCCTGTGGGTTTAGATGGAACTATTGCCATACTAATTTCCTCGTGCATTGGTACCAATTCTCCAGAACTTGAGGTGTTATTGTAGCTCTGCAATCCCACTACAAATGAATAGTTAGTAGATAGATGCAGTGTATTTCGGTGCCTCCGGATCAATGAAGAAATGTGAATAAGTCAAGAATCATGTAGTCTCTGAATTGGCTCATTCAGTAGGTGATCCTTGATTTATTGAGAGAATGAAGTTGATGTTGATGAGTCAATTGGGAGGATATGATGACAGTCTGGGTGAAAGAGTGTTGTGCATACCGTATCTAACACCTAGCACTGCATACAGGACTTCACCATAGCCCAACATGGTTTATTAGTTATTGGTAGATGTATGTGCAGTCCATTCCTAGTATGACAGAGATTAGGCTTTCCTTATGGGATGAGAAGATGGGTTTATGTCCCATCTTCTATGTACTTAGTGGTGGATAATACATGTGATGTTTCTTCTGATTGAGAAACACAAATTCTAGTATTCATTGTAACCACTTCAAAATAGGTTAAGAGTTGTACTAAACAACTAATACAAACTAACAAACTAAACATGGTGGTGTGGAGTTGGCCCCTTGAGCCACAGGATGGGTGAGGAGCTAATGAATCATTGTCCAAACTGCCAATCTCAAGGGGTGAGAACAATGAGTATCAAGAAGGTGGGAATTTCTCCCCATTTCCTTGTAGGGGGGAGGGCTGTGAGCCGGGAATCCCCACATCTCAAGCGTTTGCTAGTAAATCTGTGTAAGCTTTCACTATCTCTCATATTTGACCCACAACAAAAAGAACACTCCATCTTTGTTGTCTTGACTAAGTAAGACAATATTAATAACTGGCTCAATCTTGTTGAATTTAAAGAACATCCAGACAAATATAAACACAGGAAGGAAGCACCCCAAAACTTGAGAGAAAGATGGGAGTGGACAACACTTGATGGACAGAAAATAATTCAGGAAAACATGAATTTTGTTTACACACAGAGGCTGCATAAAATAGACTTTGTTTTTCTGAGATCTTTTGAGGAGAACTTTCTTAGATATATACAATACACATCTAATGATCATCTCCCACAGTTTTTGACTTCTGCTGTAGATGCGCCTGAATTCCATCTTAGGAAAGCACCTTCTATCTGGAAAGAGTGCCCATGGAGGAGTTGCTTTGACTTGGTTGATCAACATTCCAGATTTTCCTAAACCATTTAATTGTACTCTGTTTTCCTAGCCGCACTTTCTTCTCATTAATAGATAAGCTAAATACAAAATCAATTGGTTATCTGGGTCAAAAATCATATAATGCTTCCAGAATGGTGACCGGGTCCAGTAAAGAGTCTTGCTTTTCTAGGTGAACTTGTTTAACCTCTCCTGGTAAAGCTGTCTTTTGTTGTAGGCTCACGCTATGGGACGGAGGCCAGGAAGGTATCGGCGTATCTCTATATGGATTGCAGTCTGAGGAGAGGTCTACAAGGTACGTGCACATTCAGAGAACACTCTCTCTGTCTGTGACATGTGGTGCGTATAAGTGTCACATGTGATACATAGAGCTTATAACATCTTTGCCTCATGAAGATTGATGACAACATCTGAGCCATCAGGCGCCCAGTCCAAATCCTGCCAATGAGGGACCTGTTTTGTTGGATTTTCCAATTTCAGCTTGCCTAGATAGGCAGTTCCCCAAGATGCGGTAAAATCTACCGCAAGTAGAGAAGTGCTTGTCTTAATTTGATGAGATCTGAAAACTGGTGGCCTCTGTTTGCCAAGTTCATTGAACTTTGCCGCTAATTTTTGGGTTGCTTGGAGTAGTGCTTTGAGATGAGAATTGATTTCATTGGTGAACAAAGATCCATGAAAGATGTGTCATGCTTAGATGCCAGCATGATAGAGAATTCAGGAAAGTGTACAATGCTCACCTGTATGTGAGCATCAACTTTGGCCCCCTGTGTTGAGAGAAAACTAACCACATCTCCACTTTGTGATGTGTGCAAGATTAAAGAAAACACTCACAATTACCTTCTACATTGCAGACAATATTCAAAAGGAAGAAAGAAACTTAGGAGAAGACTCAAAGAACAAGGCATTATAACAAACTGGAATAATTACGGGATACAAAGTAGAATCTGGGCACGTGCCTGGCTTTGTGCCCAGATGTTTTTGGCAGTAAATTTGAATTCTGGGCCCGGACTTTTGCCCAGAAAATCGAAATTTACTGCCAAAATAATTCTCGGCACAAAGCCGGGCACGTGCCCGGAGTCTGCTTTGTATCCGGTAAATGTCACAAAATTGTTAGACTCACCAAAAAGAATTACATTCCTAGCAGACTTTATCCTTTTTACAAAACAATTTTTTGTTTTCACTCATACTTACAAGACAAACAAAAGAAGGTGGCCGCAAAGGAAGGGTGGTGTTGGCTTGATGTAACAGTATATTACCTTACCAACTCCTCAAACCCTCACTCAAAGCTTGTGTAATCCCAAAGGGGTTAAGAGACCTCCAATAAGAAACTTGGATCCACTGGTTGATGAGACAGCTTACCTTCCTAACAAACATGCTCAATGCCATAAGGGTTCAGGGACCTCCAATAACAAATTTGGACTCAAAGGTTGATGCAACACGCTTCAAACCAGTGTTAAATTAACTGTGTTGAATCCCATATGGGTTCAGAGACCTCCAGGAAAGAATTGGGATCAAAGGTCAATGAGATTCTAATCATAAGATTTTCACTAGAAACCTGTTCAATCCCTTTGGGTTTGATGGTTTGGGTATGACATTCTCCAGGATAAATGGACTAAAGACCACAAAAAAAATTTCACAATGGGCACTCAGTCAAGAATGCTCTTCAATCACAAACTCATTCTTCTAATTATACCTCAAACTATCAGCTACCTATTCATGGTATTTACTTTTATTCACCCAATATTAATGAATCCACCAAGGATGGCAGATGAAAGTTTATGAACAAAAGAGGAAATGTTTAAAAAAAGGAAAATATATTCATCCAAAAGTCAACCAAACACCTTGCCCTGACTATATGGCCTTCATTTCAAGGCAAATTAGTCATCAAACATACAAAAGGAAGATTCCTGGATACAAAAAAAGTTGCTGTCATAGATTAATGTCATGGCTGTTGCTACTAGGGCATTATGTACCCTTTGTTATGACGGCAGAATCTGATCTGTTCAATGCCATTACCCTTTGTTGCCACCCCCAGGAGGACTGTTGATATGTCTGAACACCTTGCCTCAGCTCATTGTCATGTCATTGTCCCTATTGATGCTGTGTTTTCCCCAGTTGCCTGGTCACTATGTTATATCTTTACATGCCCTCCATTTCTCAACCAAGGTAAACTTGCTATGCCAACACACAGCATGACATGTGTGTGTGTAATTTTCAGTCCTCAGCCCTCAATACCGTGGTGTGCTGCTACAACTTGATTTATGTGAAAGACATATTCCCTTTTGATACCCAAGACAGCATTATATTTTGGCTCCACTGGAAATTAGCTGCTGCCATGGTAGGCCATTCTGTAGCTGTCTTTGCTATTCACAACCAGGTCAAATCAGTTGGTTAATCACTACCCCCTGGCCCAAACTTCTGTTGAAATACAATCATTGCTGGATACATGCTAGCACTTATGGTAATGAGTTAGGTCCTAGGATTTCAAATTGTTATGGTAATTTTGTTGTATCTTTTCTGACTCAGTCTCATCATGGCTTTGGGGTTTATCAAACCCATTCAATGTTAACAATAATCATCCCCAACTTGTTTTTCCTGATTGAGAATCTTTACGTATAGCCTATTGTCCCCCTCCCTTGTACTCTCTTCCCTAATCTGTTGGAAAGAGAGTAAGTGGTTTTTCTACAAGTTTCATCAAAGGTTATGATACTAATAGTGTTTTACACATTTGAAATCCCTCAGATCAGTCACAAGTCTTAGAACTTACCCTCTTGTTTTCTAACCTTTATACTTTCCCTGCAAACCTTTAGGTACGTTTTTATCTTCTAACATTACTTATTGGTTTCTTAGTTGTTTATTGCTTTCATTATATCTTATTTGTTGTGGTGATTTTTAGGTTAGTTTGAGTAAGGTCTGCATACATTACAACTAGTAGAAGACAATGTTTGGCTGTTGTGTTGTGTTGTGAGCAACCGGCTGTTGCGCGCAACACAGCAGATTCATTTTGAACCCAAAATCCCACAACACAATGGGGAATTGCAGAACCCGTTGTGTTTCCCGCAACACAAAGGGCCGTTGCTCCATCAACATAAGAATTGAAAATAAACCAATTGAGAGTAAAGATACAAAAAGAAGACACATCATATAATGCACTGCCATCATAGATGCCTCAGATAGGGAGATCTGAGGTATTTTTAAATTCAAATCCTTGGACGGATCTTATCCAAGGTTTCTGTCCAAGGTATCATTATGCGCCAAATATTACCTCAGACCAAAACCTTGGAAAGCTCTTGTCCAAGGTTCCAGATCCGTGAACACCTTGGATTTCCCAATTGTTAGGACTGGTGTTGGGGTTCGTGGGACGAGGGTTATCAGGTTCTGTCACCAGGTTCTCGTATTAGTATGCAGATTGTCGGATGAAGAGAAAAGAGAGGTGTGTACAACGTAGAGAAATACAAAGTGGTCTCTAATCTGTGACATGTTGTGTTGAGCCTTTCACCAACTGTTACATAGATGAGATCATAACAGTATCCCCCTTTTTACGCCCAAACTCCCTCTTGAAAGTTCTGCGTTCCTCTCCGGGTAGCGTTAAAAAACCCAGTGGGAAAAAGCTTACCCTCTCACTTCTTTCTCTGTGTCCTCCTATGTCTACTGGCCGCGTTTGGAAATTTCTTGTTAAACTCATCAACCAATTGCTTGCTGTTCTCTAAATTGCTGCTTGGTTCCCATGAATTATGTTCCGCCGTGAAACCTTTCCACGCTACTAAATATTCGACCCTATTGTATCTCTTGCGGCTGTCTAGTATTTCTGAAACTTCCCATTCTTCATTCTCTTGAATTCTGATTGAGGGAGGTTCTTGCTGTTTTCGTTTGTCGATGCTGTCCTGTTCGTGTTTTCTGAGTAGTGATACGTGAAATACTGGGTGTACTCCCTTCATAGAGAGTGGTAAATTCAATTTGTAAGCTGATCGTGACACTCTGTTTGAAATATTAAATGGACCCAGCCATTTGTGATCCAGTTTGGGGCTCGGTCGTGTGGTTGAGATATTCTTGCTACTGAGCCAGACTTGGTCTCCAACTTGCCATTCGGGTGTGGGTCTTACTCCTTTATCGAACTGTTTCTTCATGTCCTCCTGTGCAATCAGTAAAC